AGGTGTATAGGGCCAGTTTCAAACCAGGTCTATTGGAGGTGCATCGTATGGTGATAGATAGGTAGGAGCTGCCCACTGAACCATGGGAATCTTGAACCTGGCCACCAAACTCGACAAAAACGAGGATATTGCAAAACTCACGTCCCTGTGTACTTGGTGCCGCATGCGCCAGTATCAGGCCATGACATTGCAGGACCTCCCAGCAACAAACCATCTGTGAGATGCTGGATTGAAAAAACTGAAACACGAATGTGTTTGAGTGAAACGCTTGCAGAGCACATTGTGCAGCGAACTGAACATGTTTGGTTCAACTCAAATAAGTGTCTGAGTGCATTATTACCATGGTCGAACACATGCGTGTTCGACTCAACACTTGCATGGTTAATACTTGCAAGTATTGGCTATGCTTGAGCAAAAGTTGAAAACCTATTTGGTTGGACTCAAACATGTTAAGGTCGAACCGAGAAGGTGCTTCTTACTTGCTAAAAGTGGTGGGTCCAATCTCTTCAGCCCAAACATGTTCAGTTTGGTTCGGCAGTGAGTGGCAAGCAGCATCAAACAAGAACATGTTTGAGTTAGTCACGTCCTAAAAATGTTACAAACTTAACAACACAATTTCCTTCATTCCACAACACCCCCAAACCATACGGAGAGTAAGGCACTCGAATACACTGCAAATTTCAAGGTTGCTCGTAGTGTGACTTTTGCAAAATACACCCACTGGAAGACCACAAACAAGTTCACCCTTAACATGTTTGTGTTTACGACAAACACATATGTTCGACTACGATGGCGAACAATCAAACGCGCTTCTCAAAAAGAAGGGTTCGTTACAACCAAACATGGTTGGTTTACCCACTGAACAGTATACACGGGCACACACGCGAGTCAATTGTTTTCTCAAATCGTATCAGTAACTAAAAAATCTTGAGTTTTGAGTCCCCACTTTCCCTGGAAAAACGCGCTGAATTAAGGCATGTTTAACTCGCCAGTTAACCTAACTCAAAAACAACTTGCCAAACTAAGCAAGGCTTTTAAACTTGTGAGTTGTTTTCTGACTCATCGAGCCAGAAAAAAATCACCGGGAGCAATTCGCTGCCACATACACAGAAATCTACCAATTCGCTACAAGATGGGGAATTTGTCGCCGGATCTGCACAGATGTGACACTGTTGTGGGTGGCGGGCAGTTTGCTTCGTGTTGAGTTTGCTCAACTCGCTTTAGTTCCTTCAAACCCAACCACAAGTAAAACCAAAGCAAACCATATGGTGGAGACATGAGTCCGGCCTGAGTAACAAAAAACGTGAATAGCTTTACTTGATTTGAGTTAGTGGCCCAAAAAAACCTTGTTAAATTGAGTCAAGTAAAACTCGACTCGTCATTCGTCCACGGAGCATTTTTATGATGCATTTGACCTAAACATGTTTTTTTTTTTTTTTTTTTTTGTTATCAACCCTGCCTTTGGCTTCGTGGTAGTTGAAAAGATGCAAGGTTTTGAGCCCCTCCTAATGAATGGAGCTTCCAAAGACTATCTTTATAGGCATGGACATTAGCTTCATGGATTCGTCTCATTGAACATTTACTGTCTAAATGCTAAGGTCTGGCTATCCGAGCATTTACCATTTGAGTGTTGACTGATATATGGGACCTAGAAGCCCTTAGCACACCTTTAAATCAATGCTAGATAGTCCCCACGGGGTCACCTCCAAGGGTCCTTGGGTGCCTGGTTAAAGCAGCCCCTATCCAAGGGTCCGTGTTTGTAGAGGGTTTCCCTAAGTATGAAAGTCGTGTGTCCTTAGAACATTCCCAAACTCATGTGCGGAAGCGATAACGACTGATTGGCTCGTATGCAAAAATTCCTCTTCACGTCAATACGCTGATAGAGGAAAATATTCACTCCAAAAAGTTGTTTACAATGAAACACAAGCACACATTTATAGAACTACTAATGCACGAGCAAAGCAAACACAAGGCAAGCATTTAACAGTTATAAAACTGTATTATGAGACTTCGCCATGTTGTCTTGGTGAAACGGTTGTCAAACTTCAGTTGCATTTGGCTTAACCCGCTTCATTAGAATAACTGACTTCGAGTTGTACTTGATCCAAACGCCCCTGCTGACTCCCCTCGTGAGTAGTCATGAATTCCCGTTAACATTCATGAAGCCTCGTGTGGGAAAACCGTTTTCCCGTTGCAAAACGGAATTTACCGTTTTGTACTATGTCGAAATGATCACGCAATGTGGCGTGACTTTTTGGCGGAACCTCATGTTTGCCAAGTCAACACGGGATACAGATTTTCAACTGTAAATCCCGAGCTCCCCACGTGCCAGCCAGCATGACCGAGATATTTCTCGGTCATGCAGGACAGGACGATCGCGTACGCGATCGTGCGCTGTCCTGGCGTGAGACAGGGCAGTAATGTGCCCTGTCCTGTTGCGATCGTGGGCCCTGCCACGCTCGCAACAGTGCCGAAGCACACGCGCGAGCCCTGAGGGGCCACACGCGTATGTCAGGACCCCACGCGCGGGTCCTGACCTTCGCGCGCGGTTGACCTTGACCAGCGTGACCTAGTCAACATGGTAAAACACTCGCCACTCTCTAAAACGCACAAAAAATATGAACTCTCATGAACTCTAATAAAAACTCACGAAAACACATGAGAAACAATGAGCGCACACGCAGACTCATGAACAATCACGAACTCATGCGAACTTACCGAAACTCACGAACTTTCATGCGCTTTCACGGAAACTCACGAACATTCATGAATATTCAAATGCATGTAACTTATGAACCGCTAAGGCGATTCACAAACCGTAAACGCACAAATGTAAAGCACACAAATGCGCTCACACTCCACAAATTACCTTAAAACAAAAACTCTCATTTTCCTTTATCGTCGGCGAATAGGCAGTAGGTTGACGTGCAAACCACATTTTGCACTCAACATTGAGCACCATATGTTTACTCGGTATCCAATTGACCACTAGTCTCCATGCACACTATACTCCTCACTGCTGCTTTGGTCTATACATGTGTGTATGCTTGTGTAACTTTTCAGGCCAAAACCTCCTGTTATATTCCTTGTTGACCAATATTGTAATACCTGCTCTTCACAAAATTCTGTTACAGTTTTAGAGTTAAAGTATAGAGAACCAGTTTGTAGTCACAACATGATGCACCTACTATGTTCGGTACCTTGTGTAACAGTCACATTCACATGTCACCGTAGCATCTTCCACTATTACAGCCACCTGTAACTGCCCTTTCGAATGTGTGTAAGGCGCCCTGCTTATGCTTTGATTATTTTTTTATTTCGTTTCTACCAATGTTCTCCACCCACAACTTACTCTATCTCTCTCTACCCCCTAAAATGGAACCCTGCATGGGTATGAACCATCAGGTCTCTAGCCTTCAACAATTTGACTGGACCTATTCCGTCCACCATCGGCTACATGAGCAGCCTTACATACCTGTTAGTGTCAACAAAATCTATTTGACATTTCGCCTATGGGTTGGATGGCTGTGCTTCATTCCTTGATTTATAAGTTGGTGTTTAGTTTGAGTATAAAAATGCATGCTAGGCATTAGCAAGAAGAGCTGGGCAAGCTGGAGTTAGGCCACCAAGGCCCATCAGTGGTGAAAGGTTGGTTTCCCACCAAGTTTATTGGAGGTCCATCACAAAATGACAGGCAGGGGCTGCCCATTGATCCGCATCCTTGAGATTCATGGGTAGAAATCTAGGCATCACCAATGGTGTACCTTAAACCCTGCAAGAAGCCTCGCCATCTACTTCTGGGTGCCAGGGTCTGCCACATATCTCTCCGTATTAGCCTCACGACAAGGTCTTGCAATGTTCAAGAGAGAAGAGACGTGGGCAAGGGAGATTCTGAACATCCATACGTGGGCAGGAGAATGAAAGTGAAGTTCTATGAAATAAAGCCAGCAGAGAAGGGCAAAGACCAGGACCACAAGATAAAGCTGACGTTTGTTCCATCATCCCCAAGTCAAGTCTTCAATCCAGCTAGTCTCAATCTGCCCTCATGATTGGTCAACCACAAGCTAGCCCTGAGCTCTCCTTTCCATCAAATTGAATCTCTTCTTCTGGTGGCTTACAAACTTTCTTTCTCACAATCAATCTATTCAAGTCCAGACAGCAAAGACATTGTACACTGGAGTACGCTATGCTAAGAACTGTGGATTCACAGTTGTTCCGGCTCATTGTCCTATCCTACTATTAGAATTAAGCAAATCGCGAACATGAACCTGTTCGGGCCAGACATATCTCAAACACTTCTTCAGCCTGACCCGAACACATTCAGCTAAGAGTGCTGGTTCGGGAAATGGTGATGTTCGAGAGAACTCGAACCCGAACGTGTTCGAGTTCGCCCTTTGCTCATCCCTAGTTGGGTTATGCGTCTAGGGGCGAATAACCTACTGTTCGTCTCGAGCAGGAACATATTTGAGGCGAACATGTTCGAGGTGGGGGCGGTCGTGACGATACTCCCATATGGCCATGTGAGCCGTATGGAAGCTTTGGTAATGGCGTGTGTCTGAAGTGGGGACGATACCTTTCGAAGAGATCCTATCAACACATATTTTGTACTTGCGCTTCATAATCATCACCAAGGGATCAAACATCTGCACCTGCCATCCCAGCTTCCGTGTCTTCTTCACCCCCTTACTGCTACCCACTGGTGACTCATCGCCTCGCTCAGCGGGGGCCACTCCCCCGCCAACCACCTCTCTGCTAACTCTGCCATGTCTAGGGTTTAGGGCCCACCTCCCACTCCGCTTCCTCCACCTCTGGCCTCCTTGCGCCACCCCCCCTAGCGAACCGCCGGTTTCCATCTCTCACACTTCCCAACTCTACCCTGGCGCTGGGAGGCTTCATCCGCCATCCTCTGTCCCTTGGCCACCTCCTCCGGCTCGGCCTCCATCCAACTAGCCCATCTCATGGTCACGTCATCCTCCCCCACCCCATCATCTCCATGGCTATCATCGCCGGTATCCTCCTCCTCCTCCTCCTACTCCTCCTACTCCCTCCTCCTCTTCTTCTTCCTCCTCCTCCTCCTCCTCCTCCTCCTCCTCCTCCTCCTCCTCCTCCTCTTCCTTCTCCTCCTCCTCCTCCTCCTCCTCCTCCTCCTCCTCCTCCTCCTCCTCCTCCTCCTCCTCCTCCTCCTCCTCCTCCTCCTCCTCCCACTCGTCCTCCTCCTCCTCCTCCTCCTCCTCCTCCTCCTCCTCCTCCTCCTCCTCCCACTCGTCCTCCTCCTCCTCCTCCTCCTCCTCCTCCTCCTCCTCCTCCTCCTCCTCCTCCTCCTCCTCCTCCTCCTCCTCCTCCTCCTCCTCCTCATCATCATCATCAGAAATACCACTATAGTATTCATGCGTGCGGGAAGGTTTGAGCTCGGGCTTGTGTCCGCGTGCCCACGCCTGCCCACTCCACCTAAACATGTGCCTGGAGGTCGGCCTGGGCATGGCCAAGAAGCCACCCACGAAGCATGATGCGGGTGTGGCTGGCATGTCAACTTCACCTCCCTGAAGATGTCATGGCAAGGTAGAAGCCTTCTACTAGAAGGTGCCGTCATGAACAATCATTCCACCCCCTTCTGCTATGCTAACAAACACTTCTAAACCGCTCATTGCCTAGGCTAACCTGCAAGAAATGGCCACGAAAAGTTGTAAAAAGGTGGGAAACTGGTGCGAGCTTAAAAAATGCAGAAAGGGACGACGACTTGTGAGTGTTGTCACGGTTCATGGTGATGACGTGTTTTCCCCTTGGATTTTCCCTGTACTTTGCTAAGCTGCCATTGGCGGCATCCTTAGGCTAAGCTAAGGAATATGCATATGTGATATGCTTTTTAACTCGAGTAGAGGTATACCAAACACAGCTGCTGCTAGTTTAGGTTCTCGCTAAAAAAACGAGTAACATTGAGCTGAAAAATGAGCTCGGTCAACATTTCCCTTCCCGGCGACTTCAAAGTTTTGGTTGCAGGACAATTGCGATGAACACAGTTGTGCTCGTTGCAGCCAATGTCCCGTGGTTGACTCGGCTCCACCATCCGCGACGAACCAAACTTGAACATGTTCGACCCAAAAATGAAGGGGCATATTAACCTTTTCTGTTCGGTTTGCCCCGGGTCCTTCTGCTCAAGCCTACCTATGCATTTCCGCCACTACTAACATTGTGCACTACAGAATCAATTTTATGTATATCAATTAGCCGGTTTATCTCCTGGGAGTGCACAAGTCATTTGAGGCGAAAAGGGCAGGGGCGAATCGTTCATGATCGAGTCGAGTGTTCAAGGGGATTTGGCTTCGACAAATGGGAGGCGTCGGTTCGGTTCGGTTCGAGCAAAGGACAGCACGGAATTCCCGTTCGCGCTGCGAGTTTGTTGGTGCTCAAAGCGACAGGTTTCGACTGCGCTGATTGGACAAATGTTCGCGCAGCAAAGTTCGTCGTCATGAACACGCAGCCAGAACTGGTTCTGAACATGTTCAGAACAGGTTCCGAACATGTTCAGAACAGGTTTCAAACATGTTCAGAACCGGTTCCGAACATGTTCAGAACAGTGTTTGAACAAGTTCGAAACAGGCTCTGAACAAGCTGACGCGGCTGAAGCAGAGGGCAGCTACATGCGCGCCGACATTTCGAGAGCTACACTTTCGCCATCTGGAACACGTCAGCCCAAGAAAGTGCTCACAGCTCGAGCGATCAAAGCACGTGGCGAAACTGCTCACGCCACCAGAATTCAAGCAAGGGGATTGGCCCGAATCAGCACGCATGTTCAAAACAGCAAAGCTGACTCAAATAAACAAAACGGATCGATCGGAGCCGTTATCAGAACGGCGCGAAAATCACAACGGATCAACGCCGTTAATAAATTCCGCGCGAACAGCTAAAACATTTGCCGGCGAATCGCAACCTAGCTGAGCCACAAAAATAAAACGAGGGAAACGCGAAAATTGCTCGCGCCTCGCTAAGGATAGGAATTGCTCAGCCATGTTAGGTAGCTAGCAGTAGAAACAGCCTAGAGAATATATAAATGTATGTTCTGAATATTAATGAAACACTCTGCCACACATTTACTCTCACACGCTACTATCAGATTTGACGTCCAACGGACTCTCTGCCTACGCCGTGACAAGGGCTTCCACTGTTGAAACTCTAGTCTACTGAATTGCTCTTTCAACAAACTCGGACCCTTGGATAGGGGCTGACTCTAGTCAGGCACCCAAGGATCCTCGGAGGTGACCCCGAGAAGAGTTGTTTCAGTAATTGTAGAACCATCAGCGTAGGAACTAAGTGATACTGAAGTAACAAGCTGGTATCAGAGCTGGCATCGTTGTGAACACGGCAGCAGAGCATAATGGGATCCAAGGATGGAGAAGGATCATCCGCTCCTACGGGCAGCAGAACTCAGGAAACTGGCATCGTGGTGCAGCAAGGAGCTCGAACGAACCAGGGGTCGCTTCTGAAGGAAGTGCTGCGGAACTTCAGCGTAGAGAAGTTCAATGGCGACGGCTACGATGACTGGTCATGGAAGATGCAACTCTACTCCAGGCAAATCGGGCTTCTCAAGCTTATGACGGGAGTGGAGAAGCGACCATCAGATGCAAGCCTGCAAGCAGACTGAGATGAACGATCGTCGGCAGGATACTACCTCCTGTCCCAGAGCCTGGAGCAGAATCAACGGCAGCACATAATGCACCTGCTCCCGAAAGAAGACTGCAGACCTCGAGCCTGGGCTGTGCTCAAGGACCTTCACGCGCCAACGTCCGTTGTGGCTACTTTGATGTTGGAGCGGGAACTGTCGTCTCTGCGACTCAGTGAGGGCGAGCAGATCCAAGGTGTCATCGACAAGTTGCGGGATATCTATGCCAAGCTCACTGCTGCCGAGGTGACATATCCAGAACAAACCAAGTGTCTCAAAATGTTGTCGCTGCTGCCCGAGTCCTAGTTGCAGTTTACAAGTGGCCTGAGCTTGCCACAAAACTAGAGCTTATGGACCATAGAGTGGGTGCGATCTAAGATTCTCGAGGAAGACTTTCGGCGTCGTCAGCTAAGGGGAGGGGATGAAGGGAGCAGCGGCTATGCGATGCAAGGCAGCAGAAGGGGAAGGGGCCGAGGAAGGTCCTGGCTTGGAAAAGGAATCCGCAATGATAACAACCAGCAGGAGCAATCTGGGAACCTCGTATGCTCGTGGCGGAGGAGCAATTCGAGGAGGTCATGGAGCCAACGGGGGCAACACAAGAATGCAAGGACGTTGCTGGTACTACAAGAAGGTCGGGCATCCGTGGTTTAAATGCAACACAAGGCCGGAGTGGTGGACCCCCACGAATCAGTCTAATGAAGGAAGGGGAGCTGGAGCCATGAACAACGACTCTGAAGACTATGCGGATGACGAAGAGCAGAATGAGCGATCGGTAGGACAGTTCTTTCATGTGGAGGGGGGAGAAAATGAAAATGGAACGTCAGCGAAACTGGGAACCGAGCTTCACCCATTAAGCGCCTGGATTCTAGGCACGAGAGCATCGTGGACAATGACTCCGAGATCTGATCTATTGGACAAAGTCGGTGCAGCACCAATTTCGGAAGTTCGATCAGCATCAGGTAGGGATGAGCATAGAGACCCGGCGGGTCGGGTCAAGAGTTCTGAACCACTGACCCGGCCGGGTCAGGTCGGGTATACCCGGCCGGGTCGGGTCGACCCGTGACCCGATTCCGGGTCGGGTCGGGTTTTGACCCGATTATGGACTCGACCCGGTTTTGGGTACCGTGCCCTATCTCGGGTCGGATACTGGCCCGACCCGAGGGTTTCCTCTCGACAATGTTATCCAGATCGCAATCGCGCTTGCTTGTTTTCCCAGCAACTAGCATTTCGATCTGGATTAAGTTAGGTTAACTAGCTAGTGACGCCAGCAGCCACCCACCAAGCAACATTGGCGTACTAATCTACCCTAGAACCTACGATATTGTTTAGTTAGTACTCAGCCAATCGTTTTTTATAAGTTATTCGCACTTCACGCCAACCATCCTAGGGTTTCTTTTAAATCCGAAATTTACAGGTCGCGCTCCCACCCTAGGCGCGCGCATTGCAGGCCCGCGTTTTAGGGCGTCTCGGCGCGCCGTGCAGTGCAGGCGCATGTCGCTAGACCCGCACCCCTGCACATTATTAAGGAGAACCTCTAACCCTGCCTGTGGGAGTCGGCCCGACCCGACCCGACCCGACCCGACCCGACCCGGGGGCGGGTCAAGCCTGACCCGGCACCCGATACCCGGGTCGGCCCGACATGAGCACAAGGCGAACCGAACAGGTTTGTTTTTTTTGCTTAAATTGTTCGCCGAACAGTGTTCGATGTTCGCCCGAACACGTTCGTGTTCGGGCCGCTGCTGCAATTTTCCCCGCGACGAACACGAACGTGTTCGAGGTTCGCCCGAACACGCCTTCACAGGCGAGCTGCGAACACGGGTTTTTGCTTAAAAATTTCGCCGAACCGAACAGTGTTCGGTTCGGCAAACGGATGTGTTCGTCTAGGGGCGAACACGAACATGTTCGTGTTCGCCCCGTGCTCATCCCTAGGGTCGGGCCAGAGATCTCAAAAGTCCCGACCCGACCCGACCCGACCCGGAACCCGGCTGGCCCGCCCAAGTCGGGTCGGGTCGGGTCATTTGATCATACCTAGCATCAGGACGCACATTGCTAGTACAAGGAGCAGGCCGAGCATTGTTCAAAAGACAAGACGGTAACCCTGTTATACTAGAGAACGTGCTGCTGGTCCCGGATTTAAAGGCAAATCTGATCTCGCTCAGGAGGCTTGGCAAGGTCGGAGTCAGCACCAACACGAATGAATCCAAAAGCTTTAAGGGGGAGTTAGGAAATCGAGTTCTATGGGATCTGCGCGAAGACAAGGATGTCTTCAGGTTCATGTGGCAACTACCGGTGGTACCATGGGAAAAGGATGAGATCAAAGGCCAGGGGGAGAACAGCGCCCTAAGTGTGTCAGAGGAACGGGTGTCGGCAAGGAGCGGGGAAACAGATTGGGTGACTGCCCACAGGCGCCTAGGACACGTCAACATGACGGTACTACAGCAGCTGGTAAAAGAAGAAGCGGTAAATGGCTTGAAGCTAAACGGCATCGCCCCGCAACACACGTGTGAAACCTGCTTGGTGAGCAAGTTCACCAGATTCCCTTTCTCCTCGGTCTACAAGCGCGGTAAAAAGCCGCTGGAACTAGTGCACATGGACCTCGTCGGACCACTGCCAGTGCAAGGGGACGGGGGAGAGCGATACTTTCTCACGATCATCGACAACTGGAGCAGAGTCATGTGGGCCTACCCTCTGGGGCAAAAGAGCGATGCGGCAGCAGTAATTCAGGATGAATGGATTCCCACGGCAGAAACACAGTCTGAATGTCGGGTGAAGCGGATTCGCACTGACCGTGGTGGAGAATTTACTGGAGACAAGCTGGAGAATTGGCTGAAGAAGAGGGGGATCATGAAGGAAAAAACCACAGCTTATTCTCCACAGTCCAACGGGGTAGCTGAGC